TGAAGACCTAAAATGCATTCATAATCCTGTTCTGCTCAGTTGTATACTATTGTGTTGTGTATGAATTCATTGTATGTGAGGAAATGGACAATTTGAAAGAAAACAAGAGACAATATGTTAGACAGTGAATATCTCCAGTTTTCTTGCTTTGCAATCTGTATCTCCTACATTGTTATCTTATGATCTGCTTTGTTACGTTTAATTTTACCCTCTTTAAAAATAAAAAATAAAAATAAATTTTAAAAAAGAAAAATAAGACAGAGATAAACTCCCCAAATTTGCTATATTTTCTTTCTAACAGAGGCTCAGACTAGTGGTCCTAGGCCTGCAAAGTCAATCAAAAACTACAAGCATTTTAGTATCCACTCAGCTTGTCCTTCATACTAGTCAGTAGCTTACAGTGGGTGGGTGGACAGGGTGCTTGATTCTCAGCCCATGTTCTGGTCAGCTCATGAGAAGGGCAAACTGGCTTCTTTCTTCCTGGGCACTGTATAGTTTGTGTGGCTCATAGAAAGGGCACACTAGCTTCTTGTATTCTTCCCTGACCGAACATGTTTTCTGTAAACTCACAGGAAGGGTGAACAGGCTTTTTAACTTGATTTTTCCAAAAAGATACGGGAAGCTTCACTGTAGCTTTCTACATGCTTTCTACATTTCTTTATATTTCATTCATTGATGCAACCTCGAGGTTCCATTCTATGGATAACTCTACACCAGTGTAGTTTCATAAGAACTCCTCAACATCAGTTCAATTCTAACTAATCCCTACCACTTTGCTTATTTGTTTTGTGATTTCTTTTGCTTATTTCCTTTGTACCTACTTTCTCCTTTTTTCTTTTTTTAATTTTTTAAAATTTTTGTCACTATTTGCAATACATATTTTTTGTTTTGTTTTGTTTTGTTTTGTTTGGAAACAATGTCTTGATATGCAGTTCTGGCTGACCTTGAGCTCACTTCATAGCCTAGGCTGATTTTGAACTTGCAGTGGTCCTTCTGCCTCAGCTTCCCAAGTACTGGGATTACAGGCATGTTCCAGCACACATGGCCCTCCTCTTTCATCACTTTCACTATGTTTTTTGCCTGTATCCTATTAACTCAATCTAAAAACCTGTAAACACCACACCCTTTAAGAATGGCATGAAGTACAAATGCAGTGAAAAGCATTACTTCAAATCCTTGTAAATGCATTTGAATTTCCATTTCATTTCTCTCATGAATTTAATAAAATAATCAGTATTTCCTAATGTATTCTTTCAATGTTGAACAACTAAATTTAAAAATTTTTTAAATTAGTCAATTCCTTCATTTCTTTCTGCAAAAAAATGCTTAAAAATAGGACTTTGACTGTCGTATACTTTAGGTTCCCATATAGACATCAATTTAAAGAACTCTGTGTCACTGAGCAAAGCATTCAAAATTTTGTATGCAGTTTTCTCATCTGAGAGAAAAGACAACAGTACAAAAATTTTGTGGAGATTTTACTGCAGAAAGCAATGCATTGATGTATATAAAGTATCAGCATACTTGTCACATATATAATGTTTCATATTAATGTACATTATTATTTACAAATGGGAAAATATTTCTTTAATTATTCTAGAGTTTCTACACAAATATAAGAGGCAAAATGATATTAACTAGAATAAGCATGAAAATTTATTTCATAAAACTTATGTAAGAGAGGGATGGAAAGTGGCAGACAAGAGATACCACTCACAAAGCATTCCAGAACATTAAAAAAAATTAGTCTATATTCATCCTGGAAAATTATTACTTCTCTTTGGGGCAGTCAGTTTATATATATATGGCATCTTGGTCATTTAATTTCCATTGTTCTCTGTACTTTGTCTATCCCTCATCATCACTAATACTCTGCCAGCACATTTCCTCTCTTTTTCCTTCACTTTACTTGCTCATATAAGACAAATAATTTTATTGAGCATATTTGTGCAAATCAAGAGATACCCAGCTCCATGTCTAGATAGAGGAACATAGGAAAGTATTCCATTGCGGTTTATGTGAACCAGGAACCAGGCTTAACCCAGGCATTTTGCTATATAAAAGCTAATCAACAGAATGAATCCATGTGGCAGTGAGTGAATGGCTGATCTGTGAGGAGGGGAACTTCTCTGTATGCAGTAACAGAAATACCACAGGATACTCCTAGGAGTTTTCCCTTGTACTCCTAACAAGGGCACAGTCTGAGCACAAGGCAAAAGAGTTCAGCCAAGTGAACTGGACAACAGTGATAATTCCTTCTTTTCTGAGAGAGTGTTGTGTCAGGAGCTATCACTTAAGACCCAGGTTCCTTTGCTTCTGCATAAAAAGCAGGGAAATGACAGTGAAAAAAGGCCCTGAGTGTCCCAGCCCATCTTCTCTGCTTGGAGGGATACAGAGTAAACAGGGCGGCACAGAGATACTGGCCAGTCACACAACCAGGAGCTAGGCTAGAGTCAGGCCTTACACACAGAATAGACTTTGCATTCCCATAACCTACATGGCCAAAAGTAGAGGACACTGAGAGGCAGGTGTGGCCCATCTCTCCCCTGGAAAACCTGGTAGAGTCACAACAGAGGCACAAAGCTCTCTCTCCAGACTTCCAGGGATGACTTCTCCCTCTTGGACAGAGGCTGAAACGAGATAGCACAAAAAAGACAGTGTGATTTTCATATTCCTCTTTTATTAGAACTTGATCCCCAGGAATCCTAGAGCAAATTCTGGACTCCAGTATTGATGGCCCACAAGGAAGTATAATATGTGTGTGTGTGTGTGTGTGTGTGTGTGTGTGTAACTATATAAAGATTCAAGCTATTAGTTTTGTTCCTATAGTGTTACCTTGTTTAACATCCCTTCACACACACACACACACACACACACACACACACACACACTCACACACCATTTTATGCATCACAAAGGGGCAGGAAGAAGTCAAAGCCCACCAAAAGGAATGTGCAGTTAGGCAAAGGTGCCTGGATTAGGCTCTTGGGAATGAAGATCAAGACAAAGACAGGCAAAGTGGTCCCATGAAGTAGGCTCCCTAATCCTAATACATGAAGTCCAGAAGCAAAGGCTTGCAGCTGTCTCCTCTTCAAGACCCGTTATTTTTCTCAATTTTTATTTTCTTGTTTCTCACAAATGAAGAATAGTCATTTCCAAAACTCCATTCTCTTTAATTTGTAATTGGTTCTGAGTTTTAAGTCTGGCTAGCCACTCAAACTGGACAAGATGGTCTAATGATAAAATCATATTTTTACTTACAAAATTTTCCTCATGAAAATGTTTATCATTCCATCCATGATAATGTGAGTCATCAAATATATGTCCAGAAATTTCATCTACACTTAGTGAAAACAATAACAAGAAAAATTTTAAAAAGCAAAACAAAAGTAAAAATCAACCTTGACAGGCAACTATTCAGTTTAAGAAGTATTATTTACAGATTTAAATAATTATGTCATGTTAAAAAGTAAATAAATAAATTTTCCCTAAAAACTTGAATATACTGAGATAATATTTCAATTCTAATTTCTGTAATGTCCTAGGGGAAAGAGAAACAGTTTTCTTCATTTACTCTTAGTGCTTTGACCCTTGGAATCATGTCAAGTTTCCATCGTTGGCTACTGGGCCCGGAGGAGGACCAAATGCAGCACCAGCCTGAGTGCTCAGCCTATGGTGCACCCTGGAGACACCAGTCTGAGAAGCAACAACACACTGCTCTGGATAAATTCACAGTTGATCACTGAGATAATTTTCATAGAGGAATCCCTGTAAAGCATCTATTGGATCAAGACCTGACAATATCTTCAAGGATGATTTAATTCACCACAGAATTTAAAAAGAAAAATGAACAAAAATATACAAATAATGTGAATCACAAATATAACAGTATATATGTGATTTATATCAAGAAAAACATATCAAAGAGAATTTCAGCACCCTACTTATCAGATTTTCTTTCAGAAAACTTGTGCAACTTTCAAATTTCTAGACAGATAAATTTGGAAAAAAATTTTCACAAACTTTGGCTAACAGTAAGTACTGCTCTTTAACTGGAGTATTTATAAAAGTTAAAATAAATTGGAGATATTATTAGAAGGGTGTACATATACATATATTTGAAACTTACTGAAGTAATATTAATGTTTGATTCAAGAAAATAGAGATGATAAAACTCTTCAAAATGTAACTTTGAAACATTTTTTTTTTGCTTCTTCTATAGTTGTTTTATTTTCTTTCCTTGGGAACAATGGTTTCCTGAGTCTAAGGATACAAACTGCCTTTCCCAGCAATGTGGAGAAACAGGGTATAATTACAAATGTATTCATGTTTAGAAAGATATTGTACTCTCTCTGTTATGCTATAGGCAACAATTCTGTATTTTATGTTATATGTGCTTAGTGCCTCACTTAACCTTCCTAAAATGTAAAATTGATCTGTGATTAATTCCAAATAACACTTAAGAAGTAAATGAGAATAAAAAGTAATGTTTCTTTCAGTAGAGTATATTGTGTATTGTTTCTTGTTTTTGCTGAAACAACATATAAATAATAGTAAAGAACTGTTAGCATGATATCAGAAGGAAAAATAGCTCTGTAGAATTCATTGATAAGTACTACTTGCTTTGATTGTATAAAATTTCTTTTCTGAACCCTTCTTGTGATCTAAAGGTCTGTAAATAACAGGGACTATGAGGGAGACTTTCTATGTAAATTAGATGTGTCAATAAAGGAAGCATTTAGGCTGGTGTCATATCATAACTAGTTCCAGAGGAAATAATTTTATTATATCAAAATCAAATATTAATTTACACCCATAACCTTCTATTATCTTACAATTGGGTTTTTTGCTCCTATTCAGCAAAAATTTTGTAGATTTCTAGAAAGAGTCATTACTTGTAAAAAAAAAAAAAAAACACTGGGTCATTCCTATAAACAAAACTTTTCAGTCACTCAAGCTAAATATAAACTTTGATATCTTAATACTGTTAAACTCTAACTATGGATAGAAGGAACATCACATATTTGCATGACTTCATCCTCTTGGGACTGGCGGATTCTGAAGAGAAGCAGCTGATCCTCTTCCTGCTCTTCCTCTTCATCTACCTGGTCACAGTGCTGGGGAATGTAGGAATGATACTAATAATTCGCCTGGATCCCCAGCTTCACACCCCAATGTACTTTTTCCTCACTCACCTGTCATTTCTTGACTTCAGCTACTCAAATGTTATCACCCCTAAAACCTTACAGAACTTACTGGCATCCAGAAAAACCATCTCCTTCTTGGGCTGCTTCACTCAAATGCTCTTTTTTATCATCTTTGCTGGCACTGAATTCTTTCTTCTCTCCTCCATGGCCTATGACCGCTATGTAGCTATCTGCAGTCCTCTGCACTATCCAGTCATCATGTCCACAAGACTGTGCCGTTGCTTGCTTGCTGGTTCCTATACAATTTGTTTTATGGAATCCACCGTGATTACAGTTTGTATGAGCAGATTGGATTTCTGCAACTCTAATGTCATCCAGCACTTTTTTTGTGACACATCTCCAATTTTAGCTTTGTCTTGCAGTGACACTTATGAGGTTGAAATAATTATTTTCATTTTTGGTGGATCCACCATGATAATGTCTCTCATCACTGTGTGTGTATCTTATATGTCCATTCTCTTCACTATCCTGAAAATTAATTCCACTGCAGGGAAGAAAAAAGCCTTCTCTACCTGTGCCTCTCATCTCCTGGGAGTCACCATCTTTTACAGCACAATGATTTTTGCTTACTTAAAACCAAAAGAATCCTACTCCTTGGGAAAGGATCAGGTGGCTTCTGTGTTTTACACGATTGTGATCCCAATGTTGAATCCTCTCATCTACAGTCTCAGAAACAAAGAAGTGAAAAATGCAGTTATTAGAGTCCTGAAGAAGATAGAAGATACCTGTCAATTAAAATAACAGTGAAAGTGAGCATTAACATTTGTTTTGTTTTTCCTTTTTTTAAGTAAGATAGTATGTGGTATGGTTTGAAATTTTTTCTTGTTATTTTCCTGTGCAGCTCTACATTAGTTAACAAACATAATACTCAATATTTAAATTTTCTCAAGTCATTCTACGTTGCAGAGATTAAAATAGAGATATTGTGAGAAATGCCTTTAAAATCAAGATCTCAGCATGTAGATTCTATATCTGCCATATTTCTCATGTACGATCCACATAATTTAATGAAATCATAACAGTAACAATGGTCGAGGGCACCAGTGTGTAGTAATTCCATGTTTGTGTGATAAGAAGTTGGATATAAAACTTCTAAGGACATAACACTAGATACTAGCTATTATCATTAGATGGCTGGCTTCCCTGGGATATTTAAAGCATAATACATATTTTTGACTAACATTTATTCATGTTTTATCACTTTTTTGTTAATATATAAACATAAGGAAAAAAAGACAAAGAAAGAGTTCCCAACTTTGCATTCAAAATGAAGTTAAATATTAAATTAGAGCTAAGTTTTAGGAAGGTGATATGTCTTAATACTGAAGACACTTTTTTATTTAAAAGGAAAAAGAGAAAAAAACAAAACAGTGTAAGGGCACAAGTAATACAGAACTGCAAAAAAAAAAACCAGTAAGAAATCACCAGTTAATAGATTATACATTATCATTTTAGAGATAGTTGCTCAAGTCACAGTATCAAAGCATACAAAGTGGACATTCAAACAGTGAGACTGCAAACAGTTGTGTTCAATGATCCAACCAAAAACATTAATATGGCCACCTATTTAGCACCCCTAAACACAATTGCAGTTGTATCCTTTAGGGCACTTTTTTTCCTCTCTTTTTTACAACAAAATTTACACATTTTGGCTTTTATTACTCCCATAGTTCTTATTACTTTTTTTGGAAGAGAATGAAGTCAAATATGACAAAACTAAGCTGTCAGTAAAAACCAAGGATAGACATAGCACATGATGTAAAAACAGAGTACAAGGTTATTAACAATGGTTATCATAATGCCTCTTGCTTCCTTAAAATGAATTGTCTATCTCATTAGGTATTATAAAGTTGAATAAAACAGTAGGAAACAAGACCAATAAAACCAAAACATTGTAAACATTACAGGACTTCAAAAAAAGATAATATTCAAACCAAAATGGGCATCATAGTGAATCTTATTGCCTTCAAAGTAGTTGCCTATAACCTCAAGCTTGATACTATCATACAGAACGGAACAGAGTCTAATCAGTCAAAACAAGATAGTGCGAGTATTACAAGACTTCAAATCAAGTTAATAGGAAATCAAAAAAGTTACTATAATATATCCTGCTAATTTTTTTGATTTTTCTCCTTAATTAAAAAAATCATAAAAAATAACTAAATAATTTTTTTAATGAATAAGGGAGAGATTGAGATAAAAGAGGACATAACAACATAACAATGCAGGTCAAAGCATGACAGTTTCAGCAACCTAGTGCTTCACCACCAGATAACCCAACTTAATAGTAGTTACCTTATTGTCTGTTTCCTTGAAATATTTGAATATAGCTTCATGTACTATAGCATCAAACATATCAAGATAGTGTAAAACAATTCAAGTGGTTGAAAGCATTGTAGGATATTTAGAACCAGCTAACAGAAGACCAACAATGGTTTCTATATTATCTCTTTGCCTATAACAATTTTTGTTTATGCTATCATGTGTAATATAATCCAGCAAGATACAACATGATAAAACCAATAGAGACAGAAGAGCCATAGTTTGGTGGGGCTTTAAAACAAGATGATATTAAATCAGCACTAGCTATTATGATGACTTGTTTTCTTCAAAATAGCTGATCATTTCATCACATGCAATAATATCAAGCAGCCCAGAATAAATCCATTCCAGTTAATAAGTGAAAACTTTATAAGGCTTCAAGGCCACATAATGGGGACTGGTACAGCCTTTGTGGAGGTCAGTCTGGAGATTTCTCATAAAGCTAGGGACTGGAAGTCCCATTTGTTCCAGATATTCCAATACTGAAAACACTTTTAAAATCAAAGTTACTAGAGAAAAAGCAAACATTGTATTGATTATTGACAATTGTGTGTATGTTCTTCTAGATGGCTGGTTATAAAAACATGTCCTATATATGTAAGATTTTTTTGTATTTTCTGTTTTCTTTATTCACTTTAATGTTTACACGTAGTAATCTATGGAATTGTATCTTGCAAGTCTATCATGTTCTCACTCCATCAGCAATATTCAGACTCTCAGTGCTGAATACCTTTAACCAGAAATGTGAATTGATCAAACGTAAAATCTGTATACAGTAATACCTGTTAGGGGTGTTCCTGTGATCCATAATAAAGCCTCAGCTTTGTGGGAAATGACAAGGAGATTCAGAGGGGCTGATTGTTTGATTTTCTTAGGATATCTTCAGGTTTATATTGTTCCTTAAAAATAAATTAGAGTTTATCATGTTTGTATCATTTTATAAGTTTTTAAATAAATATTTTGCAAATAAAAGTATTGAAAATGATTTCAAAATGTATGGCATTTCACAAGTTTAGATCAAGAAGAGATAGAAATCTATAGACTTATTTTTGAAACTTTTTACTAATATATGGTTGCATTTTAAGATTTATTTTTTCTTTTTATTTTTTTTTTTTTTTTTTTTTTTTTTTTTTTTTTTTGGTACCAGGGATCGAACTCAAAACCTCATGCTTGCCAGGCAGGTGCTTATGCCAATGAGCTATGTCTTCAGCTCTAAGGTTTCTCTTTGTTATTTTAGGATTATTTTATAATGTACAGCATTATTTTCCAGATTTTTTATTAAGCTGGCATAACAATTGTTTTATTGCAAGCATGTGATTGTATGGATTATTTTTGGAATTTTGTTAATTTTTAATAATTACATTTATATTCTGTACATACAAAGTAAAATACAACTACTTTGTTTTAAGGGAGATTTATCAATGTTTTACTAATTCAAAAGTTTTTTAAAATTTTTATTATTTTAATGGTATTAAAATACAACACAACAAGACAAAACAAAGCCAATTGAGTCAGTGCAGTGAAATTGGTACAGAACTTCACAGAGGGTTACCAGGATAGCAGTAATAGGTACCATGGTATATCTCATATCTCCACAAAAGTTGCTCTTTCAAGCAGGTACAGCATTATCAAATGAAATACAGAACATTATAGAACTTATCAAAATGGAATATTGAATAGAGCAATACAATTAATCAGAACAAAGCAAAACAGTGGTGACAATTATTTGCCTTCAAAGAGATAGTAGAAGGAAATTACCCACTATTTGCTATGTTGCATATGATCAATCTCCCAAAAGATGCTCTGACCTCTAGCTCCCATTTGGTAACAGGGGCAAGGGAAGCAGGGGTGTTTCATTTTCAGCCTCCGTGCTGGTAGGTTCATGGTTGCAGCACTTTTAATGAATTTATTTAAATATTTTTTATTGTACTCTATTGTTCATACTTCGGAATTAGTGACAAAATCATGCATTATCCTACAGCAACATTATAGAAAATTATAATTTATTATTTGTTTTTATCTATATTTTATAGATTCTGTATCTATATATTTCTGGTTGTTTTTTTTTCTTTGCAATTTAATATATATTTATTATTCAAAATATTTTTGGACTCATAAAAGTCTTTATAATTTCATATATTTAAACGTTGTTCTCTTTTTTCAGTTATGTTTATAAAATGTGATTTCTTCCTTACATTCTTTTTTTTTCTTGTCCTGTCAATCGAACTCAAGGACCTCACACTCTCCAGACAGGCACTTGTGCCCCTAGACTATATACACAGCCCCTTACATTCATTTTTATGTGTGTGTAAAAGTTAGAAAATTTATGGTATTAGTTTTAGTGTCAAACCCATCAGTAGAACCTGACTTTGCAAATAATACATAGATTTGGGAAATTCTTAAATCCTAAATAGATTAAGGATTTAGTTTGTTCTTTATTACACTGGGTAGAAAGTATATATAATATGTATAATGTTATTGAATTAAATAAGCATAATATATCCTAACCATAAGAAACATTTGAACTATTTGCTTTCATGCAATCATTTATTTCTAATATACCCATGCAGTTCATATACTGGAAGTATATGGGTAATCATACTAGGAAACAGTTTTCCCAGTGCAATGAAATTTTCAGGAATATACTTACTCAACCTAAAACAGTATTGATGGCTATCACCAGAATTTACTGTTATTTCATTCTTATCCTATTACTAAGGCTCTTTTGGGTTTGGCTGTTATGAGAAAGCAATTCAGTGTCCAGGATCTCTTACCTTTTTCTTCTTAATTCCTATTATTAGCTCCTTCACATGAAAGGAGTGTTCATCCAATCTGCTGTCTTTCATTACAGTGGGAAGGTTAGAGTGGAAGGATAGGTGAGAATTTGTTTTACAAAGGAAAAACCATTATAAAGATTTCATTCATATGAATTCTTCTCATAAAATTATTGCCCGTATTAAGTAGGTAATTACTCTTATTACCTCTTTCTTCAATGTATCTTTAAAGAATTTTGCTTTGTAATCATCAAATTCATTAACAGAAAACATTTATATTTTACTTTCCATTTTAATATTTTGAAGACTTGGTGATATCTTTATGTTATTCTTGATATTATATTTTTTCTTCATACAGTAATGACCTTTTATTTTAAATTCATAATATATTAAATTAATCTTAATATATGAAATAATTGCATGTATGCATAATGATATATGAAATAATTTTACTTTTTTAGTGTTGGGCATTGAACCCAGGTCATGGAAAACAGTAAACTTGTACTATATAATTCAACTCTTATTAAACAACCTGATGCATAAGAAACTTTGCATAATATTGATCAACTTCCCCAATTCTTTATTTTTCTCATAAATTTTATTAATGTATGTCGCTGAAAGTTATAATGTGATAATGTTTCCTTT